GAGAGAGAGAGAGAGAGAGAGAGAGAGAGAGAGAGAGAGAGAGAGAGACAAGGTTATACAAACCTATTATAGCAATGCCAAAAATACCTTTAGTGATATAGACACAGAAATATAATGATATATGAAAGGATTCTGCTCTGACAGAGGTAAGCTTACTTAATAGCAATGAATCCTTGCATAGGAAATAAGTATAAAAGACAGGGAAATGGTGCTTGTAAAAATATGATTTAAAAACAGAGGAAAATAAGAAAGTAAAAAAAAAAAGATGAGCCAAACTACTAAAGATGAGTCATAGTAATAATAATAGTAATAATAAGCAAGCAGTACAAGCAAAGCTACTTCAGACAAGATAGTAGTTGTACATAAACACAAGTTTTAAAATAGTTTATCATGCTAACTTAAATAATGCTCAAAAGAGAAGGGAGAGAAACTGTTTCAACTTAGAATTCTATCTAGACCGGAGAGGGAAACATGCCACAATGGTAACTATGTCAAGTCTGGTATTGATTACTGATTAGATGGGGTGAGTAGAAGTCTAAGCACAGCAGAAGACAGAATTCATCAGTCAGATGATAGTTCGATGGGAATTATATAAACGGGCTATTAAAAAAATATATAGAATGGAAAAAACATAACAGAGCATAAGAAATATGTGGGACTTACCAAACTGCTGTAACTCGTGTGTGACTGGAATTCCATAACAAGAAGGGAAGGGAAAGGGCAGAAGCAATATTTGAGGAAATGGTTTGCAATTTGACAACCTAGACGAAAGGCTTCAAAGCACAGGTCTCAGGATCTTAGTATACGAGAAACAGAAAATATACACAGAAAACACAAATAATTACATTACAGCCAAACTATTGAAACAAAGAGAAAACTTTAGAAACAGAAGGGAAAAGAAGAAATAGGACCTTCAAAGGAAACACGGGAAGACCGTAGCTAATGTCTTAATCAAAACTACTGAAGCCAGACAGGGTGTGACATATGGAAAGTACTAAATGAAGTATATTACCAACCTAAGTTTTAACACCCAGAGAAAATATTATTTTGTTAAATTCAAGGTCAAATGCTTTGAGACAAAACTGAGGAGAGTTGAACTGCTACCAGAAATCTATTACAATAAAAGGGGGAACTTCTCAGCATGAAAATATAGGCAGTCCCCAGATTATGAAAATG